AGATGTCTGTCATTTATGATTGAAAGTGTGCTATATTTACAATAGAAATTAAGGAAATTGTGTCAAAGACAGTACTATTTTTATTCTGTATTATTTTGATTGATCCCATGGGTTTTTTAAATAAAAATAATAAAACAAAATCAGCAAATTCATATAAAAAGGTACTCAGAAGATTTCACACTGCACTCCTGGAACATTGTCGGACTCACAGTGGACAGCATAAACAGAGATATTGTCTTTTTTTGTTCTGCACATACTACTTACTTACTTACTCATAACCCGGTGCCTATGTTACCCACAATGCAATCAGGCCACTAGCTCTCTTCTTTCGAAGTGCAAAATTGTCTTGGGTTAATCTTGTGTTTTCCAATGCTGGAAATCAGAGCTTATTTAAATGGAGTAGATTCCTGAAAATGTAATACATAAGTAATAAAATAAACAGGAAGTGTAATCTTATTTTGCATTTATTTGCATTTGTCTTCTTCCTATATCTCAGGTGTCCACATGAGTTGAAAACTGATCCTGAGATGAAGACTATCCTTATAAGTGAGGCCCATGGGACTGGGCAGTTGGCCGACTCAAACAGCTAAAGCTAAAGCTAATGACAGGTGGTGGGAAGCACTGCTGGCAGCAGCAGCAACATGGAATTTGGGAGTGGAACACTTCCAGCAGCCTGAGATTAAATCCAAACCTTTGGTCGGAGATTTTCCCCCATCTGATGAAACAACATCATCAAAGCAGAGCAGTCTGTATGGGTTCAATACTAAACAGGTGCACTGACTGACACAAAGGTTAACCAAGCCCTATATGATAGTAGTCTTTGTCAGAGGAGGGGGAGGCTGTTCCCCATGCGACCTCATCTTTCTATAGAAGTCTTCCTCTTATTAATGCGGGCTCGCTGCCTCTGGCATGTGACTGGTGGCCTTGCAGACTTTGTTTCCCTTCCAGAGCTATTATAGGACACCTTGTCTGTAAGGGACATCAGTGTCAGGGTCTGTGTCTGGGCTTGCCAGGACTTGCTTCTGCTACATTTGTGTGTGTGTGTGTGTGTGTGTGTGTCTGTGTGTGTACATGTGAACATGTATGGCCTCTCACCTGCTTGTACCCTGAAGTGGAATGGTACAAAAAAGAGGCAGAGCTCACAGTGATGGAATTTCTGCTTGTGGGGAGAAAAAGAGCGCTTGACAGTGCAGGTACTTGAATGTTATGAAGCTAATTTAGTGTGCATGAGTGGGAGAAAATGAAATGATTGTGTGAAAATAGCAAAAATGGTGACACAGGTAGATGGTAATGGTTTTAAAGAGGAGAGGGGTGGGAGAGAAGAAACTACAAAAAAGAGGGACGGAGAGAGTACCTCATGAAGCAGCTCTTCCTTTTATAGAATGTGTATGAGGGCAGGTGCAAAACCTGCAACCACTGTATTGTTCCCATCACTATCAAGCCTCTTACACACACACACACACACACATCACATTACCCTACCAGGTTTTCTTGCCTGCAGCTAGACAGTGTGTATTAGAGTGCTGAGTATGAGCCCAGCTGCAGAGCCATGCTAATGATTTGAACAGGATTGGTTAAGCATTCCCTTTAAAAAACACCGCTTTGATCTATCCGAGAAGCCGTGGGGGAAGTTTATGCTGAGATGAAAGATAACGTCTGGCTGTGATGTTTGTGTGTGCTTGATTTCAAACGTGTCATCTCTCACATTCAACCCTAATCAAACTGGGTCAATATCTAATGGGGCATGATGCCCCCCCTCTGACAATGCTATGATACACTCCGACGTACTATCATACTAATCTCTTACGGATCCCCGGTTGTCTACGACAGAGGGGATGAGGGAGATGGAGCGTGTATGAATGAAAGAATGAGGT